TTCTCACCTCTTCCGATGACCTTTCACACTCATTCTGAGCTCATTACCGGTGTAAGGAGCTCTTGCGCGTACGTGGAAAACCTGAGCACGAGCAGGATCAACAATTGTTCGAATAGTGATGATGGAATTATTCGTCTTCGTGGGGGCATAGTGATGATGGTTTTTACAATTCAGGATAGAAAATCTAGCTTTGATGACATCTTGGTTTATGGTGGAACAGTTTTCATGGTTCAAGCACTCCCTTTAACATTACGATTAATGCTTGTGAAATAGTGCCAATCAATTCTGTGCTCCTCAGTTGGGTCATACTCGTTTTGTGGACTGCATTTTGGCGGTGAGAAGAACGTATGTCCGCTAAAGAAGTCTTCTGAGTCCCATACAACCCTCCTACTTTGGACAACCTAATCATACCGCTAAGAAGTAAAAACTTTCTCGTGTTTAGGCGTGATAATTCCGCCGCGATCAGCTTGGACTAGCAGCAGAACAACAGTAGTCCGGTTTCAGATCCCGGCAATCATGTGCATTGCCGATGAGCTCTTGTTAAATCGAACATCAAGGCCAGTACCTCAATGTGGATTGGCCGTACTAATTGCTCCAACGCAGTGGCAGAATGACCCAAACGGGTGTACGTTAATTGGGTGCTCTAGAACGGTCATCAGCCTTCAACCACGTTGATACAATTATTCTATTTTTCCCCTCTTTGAAGAACTTTACTGTCTCACTGAATTCACCATGATAGTACGGAATTCATGTTGCTTCTCTGGGTGGGTTTCCCGACTTCCGTAGTAGGGAGCAGGTACCAGAGACCAGAAACTTACTTGGAGTATTCTGTTCTACATACATTTAACTGAATCCCATTATTCCATGGGTTGACAAGACGTTGCTTTATCGTCACCGAGGTTGTGCACTGTATTTGCACTTGAGTGAAATTTGACTCATTTTTGTCAGTCACGGAGTAGCTATATTTTGCGAGATTACGTGCCTGGTAGTTCTGCCACATTGAACCATGAAACTCAGCAGTCATGTCTGACTTACTCCCACTAAAGTTGTTGGTAAATATTCAATTTCAATGCCGCAAAGAGTTTTCCCTCATCTTTGATTTACAACGGGTTGAACTTGTCATTACCAGTCAACACTTTGTCACTTGACGTGTGGTTGGTGAATGTTCGGTGACGCCTTACCTTTTCTAGGCTGCACTGCTAAGCAGCAGGTTCGAAACTCATTCCGCCACCTTTCTTCTGACTCTTCGTTTTCAGTTTAACCTGAGTTTGCTACAATCAAGATTCTCTAAATCGGGTACTAAACAGATATTCCTAAGTTCTTAAGCGTGTCTTTTGTAAACAGCAATAAACATACCACTATAAGTTCCACTCAAGGCCGTATATGCTGGTAGACAAAGCAAGGCTTGTTCGATCGAGAGTTCAGCCAATCATCACACCGCACAATTTTTTAGCGATTCGATTTGCCACAGTTTTTCTCTAAGCAATAAAACGGAAAGAGGTTGAAGACTTGCCAAGTACAAGTTATTTCCCACTGTCGTGCGTCACTGTTCCGCTTGCCGAATCCAAGCAAGTTTGACGGGTTCGAACTTTATGCAAATTCGAAAATAGGTATGGGCATCTGTCTTGTGGGTTTTGAGCAGTATTCATGCACTGCACACTGTGTGTGCACTGTCGGAAGGAGTTAATCCTATCTTTTCCGCTTCGTCTGTACAATTCTGAGATTACCTATCGGCGAAATACGCTCTGGTTTCCCACGGCGATTTACATTAAAAGTACGTTTGGGCTAAGCGTTTCTTCATCGAGTATGTACAACACACTTGTAAGTTGCTAACGAATGTCGCTTTTCACCCCAGATGGGAATCCACTGCTTGGTTCGATCTGGGAATCGAAGGCATCCGGGCCATTCAGCCTGATGCATGCGGGATATGGGCTTGGTGGAGCTTTGGCCCCAATGCTTGTTGCACCGTTCACAATTCACACAGACAGCAACAAGACCGAAAACATATCAATTCGCCTGATCGTCAACGATTCGTATGCGATCAGTGGAACGGAAGCCGCTCTAATCAATCCCATTGCCCCGTACAATATGGTGGCAGCCATCCTATTCTCTTGCGCCTTGTGTTTTATTCCATTCAGTGGACTGAAAAATTGCCCATCGCCAAGGCATTTGTGTCTCGCCGGTGGATCCAATCGGTGTTCGTGTCTGGTAAGTGTGTGAATGTTTGGCAAACACGGTTGATTTTCTAAACTTGTTTTTTTTTAATTGACCATCAGTTACCGCTTCTCCTTTCTGCGGAGGTTGGAGCTGTTTTCTTGGGCATGACGGACGGGGGATGCTGTTCTACAAACGCTCCCAGTTTGTTCTCCCATTGAAGAGTTCCTTGTAGAATTAGTCAATGAAATCACTATCTAACACTTGGAATATTATTTTTTCGAAGGATTTTTCTATTGGATGACTCGATTCCCGGAGCCTTATAGAGACTTACGTAGCATTTTTGGACTTTACGAAGCGATTGATCCCCACCGGTAGTGTCGGTGATGTTTGTTACTCATGTGATTCATATTCTGGATCATAAGACGTTCTTTCGACATTGTAAGCATTGTTTTTTCCCTCGGAAAACGTCCCACCAAATTTGATGTACCGACTGTTGCATAAGTCTTGTCGCTTGCAACAGAGCGACCCATGCGCAGCAGCACCGGAGGCCTTATCCACCGCACCCGTTTCTGTTTTCATCTTCAATGGGAGAACAAACTGGGAGCGTTTGTAGAACAGCATCCCCCGTCCGTCATGCCCAAGAAAACAGCTCCAACCTCCGCAGAAAGGAGAAGCGGTAACTGATGGTTGATTTTCTAAACTTGTTTTTTTTAAATTGACCATCAGTTACCGCTTCTCCTTTCTGCGGAGGTTGGAGCTGTTTTCTTGGGCATGACGGACGGGGGATGCTGTTCTACAAACGCTCCCAGTTTGTTCTCCCATTGAAGAGTTCCTTGTAGAATTAGTCAATGAAATCACTATCTAACACTTGGAATATTATTTTTTCGAAGGATTTTTCTATTGGATGACTCGATTCCCGGAGCCTTATAGAGACTTACGTAGCATTTTTGGACTTTACGAAGCGATTGATCCCCACCGGTAGTGTCGGTGATGTTTGTTACTCATGTGATTCATATTCTGGATCATAAGACGTTCTTTCGACATTGTAAGCATTGCTTTTTCCCTCAGAAAAACGTCCCACCAAATTTGATGTACCGACTATCGCATAAGTCGTGTCGCTTGCAACAGAGCGACCTATGCGCAGCAGCACCGGAGGCCTTATCCACCGCACCCGTTTCTGTTTTCATACCCCTCCATGTTGTTGGTCACAACATGTGACGCATGTGATGCTGTGGGTCGTAATCGTTTTATTTTTTTCACAATTATGCTCATTTTTGGTGCTCTGACCGCGTGTTCTCCAGTTTGAGCCTTTTGTCGACACAGACCTCATGACAGAAGTGGCAAGATCATCAGTTAAGTTGAATTTTGTATTCCTTGAAACCCCTCTGGTTGCCAGGTTTGGTCTAGTTTGGCGTTTGAACTGACTGGCCACTAGGCCACCTTTTAATCAACTTGGAAAGTGATTAGGAGCGATAGGGAAGCCATCGTTTTTGGATTGCTTGGAGAACTGACTGCCATTCGAAAGTCTGGCGTTGGACGAATAGCTTTCAGCATTTTTTTATTATCAGTGGTGACATTCTTTTTCCTGAAAAGATCATTTTGTTTTCGGAGCTCTGTCTCATTCCGAGTACACGTTCATTTTTCAAAGACCTTTGAAAGACGGATCACTCAAGCCTGTCTTCAGCTCGTCCTCACTCGATATGTTCTATTCAGCGCATGCATTTTACTACTGAATGTTTAAGCAGTATGTATCTTCATTTTAGGTGAGTATTCCATCTCTGTGGTCTGAAATGGAATAATATAGGGATTATTCAGGCTGGGCAGTGCTACTGCATACATAATCCACGGGTAAAGGAAACTGATCTTCGTTCTGCCTTAGTGTAAATTTCACCGAGCAGATGAACCGCCTGCGTCGTGTTCGCCCATAATCGTTTGCACAGAACTATTCACCATCTTGCCAGTTGTCCGTATCCGAGGTGTTCTAACCACAAAAGTTCTCCCATGGTCTTCATTTGCAACCTCACTTGGGTCAGATATTTTCAGCAAAAACCCAGCCCGATGTAGCGCGTCACCCTTCTTAAGATTTCTTCGACACTGGATTGTATTCCGGTCCACACTCCACATCTGCCCGCGCACACTAGGAAGTGCCTGGTAAGCGTTGTATTGGCCTCATCCTCCCAAAGTGAATGAACCGTCCGTTTGGTTTTTTGGGCGGCTTTGGTAGTTTATGAGTAAATGATTAGGTAAGTGCACCAAACCATAACGGGAAGTTTGCCTTATTTTTGTCGTCATTATTTATTATACTACGTCATATTATTTACTGTATTATAATACCAAAAAGTGAAAATAAGACGAGAACCAGCGGTGGCACAAATTGGTTGCCCGGCCAGTACTCTTCTCACCTGCGTGGTCGGAACACACCAAGTTATTTTTGCGATAGTATTATCTTTATTAATGGTTCTTGGTTTTTCCAAATTGACCTTTTGTTTCGGCAATCGTCCTATCGTTTTCTCGTCCCTTTTTTCATTTCAGTACAGTTTTAAATAGTTCGAAAACCAATCTACTTTTTTAGTATTATTAGTTGATAAATAGCGTCATTTTGAGGAGAGTTACTTCGATTTCTGTAGCCTTAGTCGAATTAAAGCGTCAGGCGAGCTTTGTGAAACTCACTCGTAAGCAACAGAATCATTTCAGTTTGGTTTGACTGTCACATGGAAAAAACTATCGATCCTCAAATGAGGATCCAACTTCACTTACTATAACGCCACATCTTGGATTTGTCGCTAAAGGAGCACCCCCAAACAACTAAACTTCTCTTGACTGTCACAGTTTTGAAGGAGATATAACCACAGTTGAGTGGTTTGATAGGGACTCGTCACACGTTTTGAACATTCGATTCCCCCAGTTTTTCCGAAATTTACTTGGTGAATAAAACAGTCTGCCACCAAAAACGTGTAATTATCTTGCTTGCTCTGTGCTAATAATCACTTGGGTTGATCCCATCTGGCTGTCGCAGTCTTACGAAAAAGGATGGGGTTCATTTAGGCTTAATCTAACCCGGGTGTAGACAACAGTCCCGTTTCGTTGATATGTTCGGTATAATTACATTCAGCTAACTGTGTCCACCCACCACTCTGTCCCACGCAAACAAACAAACAAACGAGCCATTCGGTCTGACCAATGATGCGAAATTTCTACTCCCCTTCGAACCACGAAGCGAATCAGAGTGAATGCTCGGATCAGTTACTTGGTCGGATTCGTAGTGTCGGGTGTGTCTCTGAAGTCTTCTGACATCGACCCCGCCTCCACTGCTGTTACGGCCCGCATCAGTCTGCTAGTAGGGTGCGAAAACTTGTGTCTAACACGTCGCTTAAAAAACGGCGCGAGAGAACAGGCTGAGGTGAACGCAATTGCTGTTGGCATCGTTCGATCGCTTATCCTGATTGAGCTCAGACTAGGTGGTCATGAAAGCGCCCTGAAGTGATTAGCATGCAGTAGGACCAGTGGAGAAGATGCGGCAAGAAACCGAAAGCCCAATACCTTGTTTAATTGCATGCTATAAGTAAACACAGAGGTCGGAATATCTGAAGACAACTGGCCATCTAAAGGCCATCGTTGTTTATGTTATTGTGGAGGAAATCGATATGACAATGGTTTATTTTGTTGCCTGAAATCCCAGCGAACGTAGCTAATAGAAGGAGTACCGCACCATCAAATCAAAGTGTTACTCAGTCAGGGTTTATTTTGGAAATCGTAATAAAATAGATCTGACTGCTTTGGAATAGGATCTCATATTGTGGGTAGAGCAATGGCCTTCGTGCGATGGCGAATATGGTTCTCGGCTGTGAATATGCCACTTAGGATGATTAGGAAGTGTTGTTGCGGTAAAACCAAGTTGCGATATGTTCTATCCCGATCAACACCAAGTTCTTCCGTTTTATTTCGCTCTTTGCTGAGGCTTTCTTTCATCTTACTTGAGTTAAGCACTAGTGTGCAGTACTGGTGAAAGGGAGAAGCTTTCCGCTGCGGAGTTATTTACTAGAAAGTGCCAACTGGCCAGTTACAGACTGTTGTACAGGGAAGCAAAACTCTCATATTTATCTGGTTTACGAGAACTGAATATCCAGCTTCTCCTTGAACGCGTCTTCCTGAACTTCCCTGGATATTCACAGACTGTTGCTCAAATTCAAGCAAATGCTACAAAGCAACTCCACAAATTCCGAAAATGATCACCCTTTTCAAGAGACGCCAAGCGAATTTACTAGAAGAAAACATACTACTCGCATGCCTCCCCATCAGTAGTATCACCGTTACACTGGTATATTGTTGTCCATGATGATAATGAATGAAGAGATTGAGAGCCACATGTTGGTGGCAACGTCCAGACCAGCTCCCTGGCGTTAAATCCTCGTGTTTGTCTGGTGAGAGAGCTATGCAGTGAAGTGAACCGCTTTTATACAGGATCTCAATTGTTGGCGCGACAGTCACATTTGTCAAGGTGCCTAACCATTTGTTTCTCTCATCCCGCAGTCCCCATTCTGAAGGACGACAGTTACTGATTCGAGTGGGCTTAGTGGCGAGTCAAAGACTGATCACATTGCGTCATCTGCATCCGATACATGGCTGGGCGAAGTGCATGGCTCTACGAGCATAACCTATAACGTATGGCCAGCTGATCTATCAAGGAAGATTTATGTGCCCTGTAATCGGTTTGGCCTAACTCACGACTACAGATCTGACGTTTCCGCGTGATGCATCGTGAGCAGCGGTGTTCGAACCCAGAGTCCGCGAATAACACCTGTACACGGCGACCGCGCCTCTGATATGTAAGGTAGTAAGAATCGAATAGCAAGATTGTACACTCTACTCTTATAAGCCAATTTGATGTCACATCAACTCCGCAAAATTAGGACGTTATCAAAAGCTGTCTTGACCCCTCGATCCCGGAAGTGATATCCTCTCTGAGGGTTTTATGCCATCTCTCACAAAACCGGTCAGCCCATCCAGTCTTGCAGTTTATACTTCCCAGATGCAAGGGGCATGCCGCATCGTTCAGCAAAATCGTTTGAAGTGGTTTTCATCTCCAAAGTGTATGATTCGAGACGATCATTCGTATTTCAGTGCCAACTCTTCTGTCAGGCTTTCTGGCAAAAAAGCTACACACAATGCAGCTTGATGTGACCAAAAGTCATGCCACTACCATTTATCTTACGTCGCCCAACTAGAGCCATTTAGCGCACATTTCATCAGTCAACATTATGCTTTCAACGGCATCACTTGCCCCGGTTTTCTAGGTAGACGCTTTTATGGAATATACACTCTTTTGCAAACTAATTTGGCTTTTCAAGAGACTCACCTGGAACTCAGCTGATTCTCTTGGTTTTGATGTCTCCAGGCAACTGAATATGCTGCGCCAGGGCGCCTCATGTTTCAGTCGCTACGATATTCAAGATATGCATGTACACATTCGTAATGCACTACTCATAAGGTTGCTGAAAACCTGTCGACAGCCCTCAGGTAGGCGCAGTCCCCAGGTTTTCGTCAACATTATGTTCCACATGTGCGTAACCGGTCGTGGGCCGTCGACGGATTTTCAGCAACCTTATCTTCAAAAATGAAGATTGTCATATTTTGCCACGCAGAAGACAACACTGCAATACACTGTCGACATCATCGTTGAGCCGTTCTCATATACTGCAGCGTACACGGGATTTTTCCTAGCGCGATCCCTGAACATTATCTACGGTACTCAACCAAGGACAGTTTCTGCTTCCTGAGGCTGCCATCCGAAACCATCATTAACGTCACCACTGACGTCTTCGCTGGTAGTGTGAGGAGATTTGAGAGTTTTGTGGAGATTTCGTCCTGTAAGTGAAGCCAATCTATGCTTAAAAGCCGAGAAGCACTGTACAGCTGTTTCATCCTTATTGAGAATCACCAGCAGTGCGCATCTCACGAAGCTCCGGAGAGTCTCGAACTGCCCGTGGCCGAACGGTCAAGTGTGCAAACTATTAGCCAGGAGATTGCAGGTTCGAGACCTACTAGAGTTTCGTGAGATGCGCACTGCGGATGATTCAGAATAAGTAAAAAACAGGTGCTTCTCGGCTTTTCAGCATAGATTGGCTTCACTTACTGGACAAAATCTCCACTGATGTCTCCATGACGCAGCCTAAGACCAGTCAGATTTGCCAACCCGATTGTGGGTTTTAGTTGAACGCCTGGTCCTACCACCCACTGCTATCTGGAATAAGCGTGCCGAACAATCATGAGGTTTCTCCCCTGAGGGGTTTGCCCGTCTTTAATTGTATGCTTCTGTCTGCTCACTCCTCGGACTGCTCTGAGGACTGACTGGAAACCATTAGGTTCGCCTAAATGCCTGTTCTCAAGACTAAGGTTGCTGTTTGGTAGTTTTGTTTGGTTCATCGATTACCGATTCTTAAGATCCGTACACTCTGTTTCCCTTTTTTGAATGATTTCATCCACTTGTTTAATGATATCATTTGTTAGTGTGTAAAAAACACGGTGAAAAGTACAAACAGACTAAATCTATAATCGATTGACCTGCCTGGGTCATGGTCACGTGATCAGACACGAGATGCCCAATCGCACGTGCGCAGAGTCGGGTCTTTCTAAGCCGACACCAGTGACCTCAGGTTTGACTAAACGCCGTTTCTCTATGGAACAGACAAATACGCGTTAGACTATCGTGAATGCTGGACATGCGCCGGCCAAGCAGATACACTTCGAATTCGACAATCCTTATCAACGCCCACTCATTCCCTCGATTATTTTCATGAATTTCAAAAGTCACATGACATTTTCAGAATTCAAAGTCCTGTGGACATTGGTTAGGAACTAGCTCTACATTCCTACGTAATCCACATACGCACAGCGAATAATTCTTCACTAGGATCAAGAACATCTGAATCCGAAGTAAAGATTCAGCCAAATGACTCTTCAAGTGAGGAATGAATTACCTCGGCTTATGGGCGCTGCGCCAAGCTGATGAGCCCCAGATAGACCGAGAGCTGTCTACGGGTTTTAAACAATCGCCCTATACTACGTATATCTGGAGTTCAGTTGGAACTGTTGCCCGAGTTCAATTCGTTCTCTACCAACTCGATCCTCGTCCATTTTTCAACGTCTTTGCTTTATCAGGTAGCATTTCACAACTCGACGAAAACCATCTGCTGAATTACTGTGTCGCGTACGAGATATCCTGGACCTGAGTTTGAGTAAAATTAGCGGGCAGATTCTACCTGAATATTGTGTCTGAATGAGGAAAGCTCGTTAGTTTGTGACACGTGATGTTGTAGTGTGTTACACGAACTGAGTTCCTCGTTTCTACTGTGAACCCACAGTGATTCCACTCCTGCACACTGCGAAAATGCGACCTTCTATCTACTCAGATTCCCTTACTTCTCGTGTTTCATACGTGCATATATATTTTTTTTTACTTTATGATACAAACTACATCGGTATGAACGGGGTTTCTGGGTGTCACGTGATGCAGCGGTGTTTGACCATAGTACGGTCAACAACAAAACAACTAGCGTTGAGTGAATACTGTTGGTTCCCTCTTTTCGCGATCAGGCGCGACGTATTACGGCGAATTCCTATAAAATGCCACAAAGGAGCCTGAAAAACCATGGAGTTTCGTGAGCAGTGCACAACTGATGCTTCGTGATAGGTATCAAAGAGCTGTACGGTTTTCTTGAATTTTCAGCACAGACCGATCTCACAGCGCGAAGCCTCATCATCACCATCACTGATGAGCACACTAGTCAGTGTACTCCCTCCCCTCCATACACGCATGTCCACTTTGTTGAATAAAGCCCTTTAATGGGAATAAGAAAGAAAAGGGGAAAGAGATTCTAGAGGAAGGCTACCACANATCCGAGATGTCTAGCTCTCAAACCATCAGTCGAACAGGCTGGATAGAACCTGACAGCATGCACACCACTGACACCAGTTCACTGCCATATCATCCAGTGTCTGTAGTCAAGCGCAGCGAGGATCTCATGGATTTAATCTTGAAAGGCGAACAGCACCAACGGCACCCAAACCTTCCGTAGCATCCACCCTTCGCGACACCTCTTCTACGTTGTCAAATTCCGTCCACCTCGAGATTTGTGCCACTATGAATTAGGTACAAAAACAGCGCTCGTCTCAGAAGGCGGTAACTCCGCGTGGAAAACATGGCCCAGCTTTCAGCAGTAGATGCACCATTTGAATGAAGAAGCGTCTTGTTCACTAAACGCCCGTGTCTTGATCGCTTCGTTCCGAGTTGGCTGATTCCATCCGATTCCAGCCAAGGTGCTGAGACGTCAGCGTTCAAAGACCTGGAGTGGCTAAGTCTCACAATCGTACAAAATACAGCCCGTCTGACGCACACATCATCCGATAACCAGTTATTGTTGCCTTTTTCACACCACAAGTGGTGCAATTCTGGCTTTCGAGAGTCGTGCGTTTTATAGATCAGCCACACCACGGAATGCAACTTTTGCAATACGGCCAGCCCTCGACATCTTTCAGTGTCACTCGTTGAATGTTTGGAGGCAACTTCAAAGGCAATTCTGACTTTCGAGATCAGCCACACAACGGAATGCAACTTTTGCAATACGGCAAGCCCTCGACATCTTTCAGTGTCGCTCGTTGAATGTTTGGAGGCAACTTCAAAGACTAGACGTTCTGCAGAGTGGCTTTGCACTTTGTGGGCGTGGAGCCCACAGACTGAATAACCTTAATGAGTCTCTCAAGTTATGCTTGCACCATCTGCCCTACCTCAAAAAGTAAAACAACGTCATCTGAATATTCCGCGTCAACAATATTTCACGGTACCGGAATTTCTGGGACCTTCCAGTTCTCGCCTCATTACGACATCAGAAACGAAATGGAACAGAATGGATAGGATTGGAGTCCTCAAAGAGTGCAATATATGTTTGAACATTGAATATCATGAACTGTGTGTGGACCCTATTTCGGTGAATCCTGAGAAGCCCTGGGGAACTTTTTCAGTGACCCCGAAATATCACTATTATTGCGACGCCCACTGTGCGCATCAGAGACACGGATGATAGGTCTGTGCACAAATTTTCTGTTTTTCGCAGTTTATGCAAGCATGATGACTGAAAGATAAAGATAATGAAAAATGATCGTTCAGCTTTAGCACATAATCGGAGCCTAGCTGCCATGCCACCAGAAGAAAGTACGAGGGCTGGGATAGTGTCAGGTTGCCCAAGCCTAGACAGGAGAAGTCGAGAGGCAGAGGTCGGGTTCGAACCAAGGACCTTTCGGTCAGCTTAGGTGTTAGTCTGTTCAAATGCAGAGGATAAAAAATTCCGTCATTTTCAATAAAACGCCGGTAACTCTGGAATATCTGCCAATATCATCGCCTGTTTGATCACCCTCGGGAATCTAGTTTGCTGAGACGTCCAACTAGAATAACCTTTTCTGGTAGCCAGGGGGTTCCAAAAGTTGGATGGATGCGAGTCCCACAAAATTTTTATGCAGTGTTATGCATCACGTTGACATCATTGGCACAATCAATCCTTGATATTTCAAAAGTCTATGGTAATGTACTAAGAACAAAATGAGGGAATGCCTATTTCATAAACACAGAGAATAGGGAATACGGAAATTAGAACTAACTACATGGTTGTTGAAGATGGCGTATTCGAAACCAAGCAATCAACTATGGTATAAAAGTTCATTGCAACATTGAGGTACTTTTGTCACGACCTGCCGTGAGCAGATAACCGACCACCTCCTGATATCTTCATCGGTCACCAGACAGCCGAGATGGCTCAAGTGGTCAGAGTGCAAATTAACTCACCGGAACGTTCGTGGTTCGAGCCCGACCTCTGCTTCTTCACTTCCCCTGTCTAGTCTTGGGCAACCTGACAATATCCCAGCCCTCGTGCTTCCTTCGGGTAGCATGGGAGCTAGTCACTGGAAGGTGTTACAGCTGAACGATTTTTTTTCTACTGTCGCTGTTTCACAAACCAACCACTACCTTGAGAATTGATCCGAAGCCTAAGAGAAGCTTGAATAAAATCGCATACTGTCGTAGAGTCTAACTTCTGGGTTCGGTGTTCTTCCATTGAGGTTGTTGCTTTATCGGAAGTGAGAGGCATCTGCTTTGGAAGTCACGCATCCACCTATAATTAGGTGGCACCATGGTTCGAAAAATTTATTTTTTCTCCACGTGTTTGGCCGACTCGTTAACAGTAGATAAATGTGTAACCAATTGACGATGACAGTTTGACGTTTCATCGAAACCATATTCTTGTTTATAATTTATTTGTGTGTTTTCTTTAGGCAAAAGGCGTTGCACAGTCTCAGGTATCCAATGATTCAGCACTCCCCATCAGTTGCCCCATTCGCGCCAGGGATGCATTCCACACACTCTATTCCAAGACTAGATATTACATTGGAAATCTACGTGCCAAGATGAAGCGCACGGACGTATTGGTCGTTACTGCCACATTCATCATTTATTTCGCTGTCGTTGGAAACGAGCGGGTTTTCGGAAAATTTATGTTCACCTATGCGATTGCCGGCCCAGTGGGAATGAGTCCTGCGAACGGCTACATCTTGAACCTACTTTACTGGATTTTCTTCGGAGGAGCGCGTGTTCTCACCTTCTTTCTGGCCATGTGTATTTCAGCCAATCCAATGCTTCTACTGGTCACAATAGGAACCATCCTCGTCTCCATTGCTCTCACCGTGATCCCGTCCACCGAACCATGGTTTTTCGCCTTCACCTGTCTGTTCAGTTTGTTCAAAAGTCCTCTGTTCCCTGCCACGTTGGCCGCGATCAATCAGTCGTACGAGATAACCGGACTATTGGTGCTTGTGGTCAATTTGGGCAGCGCTTGTGGGGCCAGTCTGCTCCAATTCACAGCGGGAAGTTTGATTGATGCCTACGGCCAACACATATTTCCATATCTGGTATGTGGTAGCGCCGTTGTTGTCCTAATCACTGTTACTCTGCTCCTGGTACTTTTGCGGTACATGGGAAATCGATTCACAGAAGCGGTCGAAACCGTTGAGCTGGCTGGCAGTGAAACAAAAGATGGCGATGAAGTCGCTGGTAAGCTTCTGTTCCCGGAGACTTGAAGAACGTGCAGTTTGGTTGTTCTACACTTTTTTGAGGAAACAAAACCCCATCCTTTGTACAAATTCGTGCTTCCTTTTCTCGTCACGTTTACAATGAGCACTCAGCAATGAATTTCGAATCAATCAAATTTGTTGAGCATTTCATTGTGATATATTTTTGTTTACGACACCTAAAGACGACAAACACGTATCGATTATTTTCCAATCCCGACTGATGATGATTGCTTTCTTGCTTTATCCAATCGAGTACGTTTTTATTATGGATGTATGTTAATTAAAGTTGAGATTCTTTTGTCATACAAAACTGCTTCCGTTGAATGTTCGAGCGGGGTCCTACTCAAACCGCGCCAGGTAGCCACAAGCATATCCTGCTGGGGAGCTCCTCTTGTTTATCAGAGCAGCTTTTACGAACCTGCGTCACCTGTGGCGTAGGCGTGACATCGGCTTATCCGTCAATGGTCGAATTTAAAATGCGGCGGTGCGCTCCATCCTACTATACGGAACAGAAACCTGACCGCTGCGTGTACAGGACGTCAGAAGACTTTCAGTGTTTGATCATCAATGTCTTCGGGGCATTGCCCGAGTCTTGTGGAAACACCGGATCAGCAATTCTGAAGTACGTCGAATGGTATTCGGGAGAAATAACTCACCCTCGATTGATGAACTGATCACACTGCACAGGTTGCGCTGGCTTGGCCACCTGCTGCGTATGCCAGTCGACCTACTTCCTCGAAGGGCTCTTTTCGCACAACCACGTGAAGGGTGGAAGAGAGCCAGAGGCGGTCAAACAATGACTTGGCAAACAATTGTGAAAGCCCTTACCAGTAAGCTCAGCTGCGCTGGTCGTTGCCGGCTTCTTGGATGGGGACCCCGAGACGGGCCACATCAGTGGCTAGAGACATGATCAGACATGACCCAGTCGCGCCCTCAGTGGCGCTCGTGCATCCAAGCTATTGCCTTCAATGCATAGCTCCCTTCCCAATCCCCCCACTTGACAACTCACTGTCAATGACGGATTTATGCACCAATTTATCAGCTCCCGCCTCCGATGCGCAACTACGTCCCCCATATCATCGGGGGACGAAACTGTGGCAGCTACAACCACCGTACGACGAGTACGAGGTCTTTACAGTTTATACTGATATTTCGTCATGGAAACAACCGTTTCACGGCATTTGTGTCCTCAGCACATTTGTTCGAAAATCTATTGATGGTGTATGCGTTTCTAAGTTCCAGTAACCATTGGATGACAAACGCTTTGCTGGAGAACGTGAAAGATTGCGTTGGCGATTCGCTGTAGTCAGTGCATGTACAGCTAACTGTGTATGAAGCTACAGTTCTTTATCCAGTCACTTTGGAAAAAATGTATGCGTGAGCAATTAGTTTTGCATGTGCATACGGTTGATTTGCTAAGCTTTCATGCAAGTTTTAATCCTAGAAAGAAGGATGACGCCATTCCGTGTCTCTGTCCTGACGCTTCGCGGGTTTGTCTGGTTACAATTCCAGGTCCTTAAATTTTTGTCAAACATTTATTTGCATGTAACCTCATAAAGAGTGTCTTAAACTCAAAATTTGTGGCAAGTGGAGCATTTCGTTTGCTTTTTGAAAAAAACTTTACCGCTAACTGCTATGTTCTCGTGTCGTACAGCTTTGAACAAAAGTATTAGCTTTTGAGGGGTATTTTTAGTTCTCTGGTTATCCAATTATAGTATTCGTTCACTACTTTGTATAATCATGTGGTTATTGGAATCACCTCGGAGGCCTGAATCAGGTTTGTCGGTTTGCGTTACTTGGGGAGTCATATCACGTGATCTTAAGTGTCAAATGCGACAAGTTACAGAATGCCTCTGTCACAAAAGACATATGGTCTTTGTGGATGGTTGACTCGAGGCGTCAGCACTTTGGACCGCGGCTCTCGAGCCATATGCTACGTCTACCGGACCATCGTCTGCCAAGACGGCTGTTGTTCCCTGTGCCTCCTTCAGAATTGTTCTGACTGCTAGGTGGAAACGTGTAACCAGACCGATGCGTACAAAAGATATTAAGATGGGCTTAGGAGTTCTTAGTGTAGGATGACGCCTCCATGACCCCTCTTTCTCTCGACTAGAGACTTTTCAAGAAGTGGCGGATTCCAGATGTCAGTAGTGCTCTTGGTGTTGGTCTCCTTCCGTACCGTTTGAGTTGGCGTTTGAGGGAACCGCTGAACGATGCCATAAGCTAGCACCAACTGCTCTCTCCGCTCTCTTTTTTGGCTTCAAGGCCTTAAGTACAATTGGAGAAATTTTGTGGCGAAGCATGAATGTCAACATTAGTATTCCTACCTCTGACGAAGACTCTATGTCATCAGTTGTAACACCAGGTGCTTGTTGATTGTGGGTTAGGAAGCAGGTAGTCTATTCACCGAGTACAGCGGGCCCTGACACTGTCCCCACGAGTGAGGACGAAAGAGTTGCACGCAAACCACCAAGCAGCTCAGTTAACATATCAACAGCAACGTGATCCGCAACCAATCAAAGCACCCCAGCCAACACTAAATTGAACATTTGCCAAAGTACATTTCTGCAACACGGTGTTCAAATTAAACGGTTCCCTTGTTTGGAGACTTATTTCTCGAACATTTTTTCCGTTAAGATTTTGTAGGAACCTGCTAGGACATAAAAATGAACTTTGAAACACTTACTGGAACTGGTGCGTAGGAGGGGGGCGAGATGGCTCAAGTTGTTAGAGGGCGAATTTACTGACCGGAAGGTCCGTGGTTCGAATCCGACCTCTGCATCTCGACTTCCCCTGCCTAGGGTTGGGCGACCTGGAAGTATCCCAACCCTCGTGCTTCCTTCGGGTAGCATGGCAGCTAGGCACCGGAAGGGTGTTACAGCTGAACGATTTTTTTAGCGTATGACAATCAGCTATCTGAAGAATCTCCGCATTGGGTCATCCACCACAAAATTGTGCCCTTATGCTTGTTTTCATACAGAATAGGGGGGGGGTCAAGACCAGCGTTACGTGGATCACCATTCTGTTCCAAGTTCATAACAAAGATAACTGCCTCTCGTGATAGCCGGCGGAAAATTGTTCAGCGGCCCACGACAAGTATCGCCCATCGTGGGACTCATCAAGTGGGCAGGTTCTCCACGTTTAGCTGAGTGCATGTCACCTAGATCCACTGACTTCGTTCTTCTGATACAAAGGTTGTAAACAGGTGGCAAATTTAGTGAAGTTCTTTTGGAATAAAGTTTGGTAGATTAGTATAGCCAGCGGCTAGGAGCTGCAATCCTGCTTTCGGCTTGGATTAGCTATGAAGGTTTTCCCTTGTCAACAAACGTCAATTTCCAAATGCATAACGGGTAGGCTACAAACTAGAGCGGTACGCAGTTGGTGAAATGCATTCATCTGCAAACGACTTCGGTGTGAACAGTTGACTCGAATAAATCTCCCATTCATACATGCCCTACCGAAAAATTCTTCAACATTCGACAGAATGGGCATTCTAGCGCACTTGGGAGCGGTAATATGCAAAAGGTTAGAATGAAACCAGCTAGCCCTGTAGGAGAATATTTTTTTTTACCAAACCTCGTTCAGCGAGCGTCAGTATTTCGTCCCATAAAAAGAAAGTCACCCATGTTTTTCTAATATCCCCGTTACCTTTAAAATACCGATAAATATTCGATCTGACTCCAAAAAAAGCGCGAATGACTGGATCCATACAATGGTACTTTGGGTGGTCACTAAATGCCACTAATATCTTCTGCTTAGGATAGAAAGTTAACAGGCGATTTTACACACGCAATTCACCAAGCTCACTTCAAACCTCAAATCATTTTTATTGTACCATTGCCAAAATCCTGTACCCTGGTTAGTCGTCTCATGTGTGTTTTGCGGATTGCAAAAAGTACGATCCGCTTTGTTGGAAACAGAATGAAAGTTTTCACCTTGTTTGGTTCAAATTGAGATAGATGTCAAGATACTAATGTTGTGTGCGCCTTATAGACATGCACCTACGACATTGCGGGCTGTTTGTTTGCTGGCATCAACGTTTGAATCACATACGGCCGGCGTGTTAATCCTAAAAACCTGCAATCAGCACAGCATTATACTCCATCAACTCCGATACGCGAAAAACCCGATTCGGCCGTTCGTTGGCGACCAACTTTGTTGACCGGAAGGTAATATCTAAATACAACTGGGATGATCTGAATACACATAATACGACTGACAGATGTTACCCGTGTTTTACTCAATCTTTCGCTCACTTCGGACAAGTGGACAGGCTGCAATGGGCAAATTTCATTACAGCCGACACAGACTGTACGCTGAGCTTTGTGAAGAACAAGCTAGCGTAGGTTTTACCAATGGCCCACAATCATCCGTTGCCAGAAAGATCACCTATCAACACCAGATGGTTGCGCGGTTCATCACACTTACAGTTAGATCACTCGCGTTTGAATGGTCTCCCTTCTTTCAGGACGAAGTCAGTTCCATAAGTCCATATCGAAGAGGGAAACTACAGGCTCCGAATTTCGATCAGCAGTCAGAGCGAACCAGCAGCGAATAACGATGTCGACGTCGGGATTCGAGCCAAAGACAAGGCGGGTGTGTTAACACTAATGCACCGGCGCATTCTGGACTCAACTGAATTACCACGTGTGTACAAAAGAACATGTGTAAATCCAAGCGATATGACTGATTAGTGGCACTTCAACAGGCGATCTGGTAGCATTCCTGACTACGTCAGATATCTGAGGTCCTATTCTCGTACGTAAGATTTGTTCTTGGAAAGTTGTGCTCAGTTAAAGATAGCAACGAAACTTTTAAAGTCTGCCCGTATCAATCTGATAACTCAGTTTCGTCCACCGAGCACTGGTTGAGTTGAGTACGGGCAACACGAGTCTAGCGTATCAGGATTACTGGGTCCAAATCTCCACAAGACTACGGATATGAACTACCGCTGTGTTCTGGTGAGAGACACCAGGGTTCAGTGACTTTACTTCTATTTTACGGACTAACTAATGTATTTACATCAGGACAGGAAAAGACTGACTGAGTCGGGAGCGCAAAGGATTACTGGCAATTTTCGGATGCGTCATGGTGATAAAGCCGTTTTTACTTATAGCTGAATCTAAATACGCAATGGCCAGGAAAACTCACGTGATTTCGACTAACTATCGAAACCGTTGAGGACATACAGTATCAATTATGACCTAAAAAACCAACTGATCAGTCTTATGTTAGTATCAGGGGCCCTATATTGTTTGTCTATGCATGCCTCCTACTCGCCCAACTTCATCCGACGGTGGTGGAATGTCGGCCC